CTTTGGGGACCAAGCTAGCGTTGTTGTGGGGATTCCTGCTTTGTATTTTTGTTCTAGGTCCGCCCACACAAGGGGTTGGTTATGGTGAAATGCTGAAAAGAGGGGGCCTATTTGGGCTGCCCTATAGTACCCTGCTAGGTTGGGCACCCCAATGCCTCCAGTGTGTCTCTGTCAGTAAATGTGTGTGTCTGTTAGCTAGTGTGTTTGCGTCTGTTTGTGAGAGTGTGTGTGTCTTCAGCACTTACCTTTCTCCAGCGCCGGACTCCCTTGGCGCTGGGGATTCCTCCGCCTCTCTCTCTCCGCAAGAGCCGCACGCGCATTCAAACCGCCTATAGGAAAGCATTATTCAATGCTTTCCTATGGACGTTCAGTGTCTTAGAATCGCGGAAGCTCCTCTAGCGGCTGTCAATGAGACAGCCACTAGAGGCTGGATTAACCCTCAGTGAAACATAGCAGTTTCTCTGAAACTGCTATGTTTTCAGCTGCAGGGTTAAAACTAGAGGGACCTGGCACCCAGACCACTTCATTGAGCTGATGTGATCTGGGTGTCTGTAGTGGTCCTTTAAGTGTGTGTGCATCTGCATGCACTGGCGTACATACCGGGGTCGCAGCCCTGCAACCCCTGCAACCAGGTGCCCGCCACCATGTGTTGCGGCCCCAGCCCGCGCAGAGTAAGCGCGGGGGTGGGGGGAAGCCCACAGATCAATTTTCGCACCGGGGCCCCATGGGTCATGTGTACGCCACTGCTGCCTGACAAGGAGATGTACTTCCCCCTCCACCCTTGAATTATATTTTTGATGTCACTCAGTAGTTTATGGTAATTTGCTTTGTATAGAAGGAGAGGGAGTGATGTTTATCCCCAGGTATTTGTCTCCAGTCATATTTGAAAGTGTGTTTAAGGGTCAGAGCATCTTTCTGTGGAACAGTGATTCCTAGGGCTAGTGTTTTGGTGATGTTGAGTTTGTAATATGAGCAGTTGCTGTGGAGCGTGAGGATTTTATGAAAGTTTGGCAGAGAGATGTGCTGTTGTTCTAAGTTTTATAGTATGTTGTCTGTGAATAGGGACAATTTATATTCTATTTCTCGAAGTTTAATGCCATGTATGTTTGGGTCATCCCAGATCATTTGGGTCAGTGTCCTCCCCCTCCCCCCCGCGTCCCATGTAAGAGGTTTAGGATTTTCTTGTGCCATCTGTGGTAAATTACCAAACTCTATAAATTATTATGTACGTATACAAATATAAACTCTGGTCCGTCTACTTTAACAAATATTTATTCAGAGACAAAACAACAACAACATACAAATAATGACACACAATCTAACTATAACACCAACAACAGCAACAACAACCTAACTAACAATAACAACTACATCTTATAAAATCCCACTCACAGTTCACCATGATAGAAATTAGGCCATGTCTGTTTAAGGGACTGCTCAGTAGCACAGCCAAGAAGGAACAGGGAGGAATGGAGATAGGGGGAAGTGGTTACCTCTTTCCTGACTTGTAAAGGTACTGAATTACCCAATTACCATATCAAAAGGTAAAGCTTATCCCACTGTAAGAAAGGCATACATGAGCTTGGTCACATGATCCCTGGTCACCATATTAGTTTGATGACAGAATGTCACCACATTCCCTCACTTTTTTTCTCTTATGTTGAGCAGATTTAAAAGTGAGAGAAAGAATATAGTCAAACAGGGGTTGCATCACCCCACATTCCCCCAATTTCAATTGTTTTTAGTTGTTCCGTTTTTAAATTAACCACTGCCCAAGTGGGTTGGTAAGAACCCTGGTAGTTTTTCATTAATATTATATGGTAATGTGTTCATGTGAAGTAGTAATATCTAGATGCAATCAACCCCATACAGTAATTATCACTAGTTTATGACACAATATAATGTTTAATTTCGCCTGGGCCTGGAATCTGAAGACTGTGACTGATCTGTGTGCTTGATAGCTGTGATTTTAGAATGAACTCTCCTTGAATATTGTCTTTGCCAATCCATTACAAAGCTTGAGGTTTGTAGGTTTAATGACACATGCAAGTTCATGAATGTAGGGTAAACTCATTCTGTGACCAAATTGAAATGACAGAAATTCCTGCTTCTTGCTGTTACTTTACCCTCATTCTGGGCTGTGTTAATAGTTTGACTTGGTAATCTCAGCACTTCTTCATCTGTATAGTATCCATTTTCAGGATAATAGTTTGTTTTGGTAATCCCAGCACTTCTTCATGTGTATAGTAAACTGTGACAGGACATGTCAGTTACCTTCGCCTCTCTGGGCCTTCCAATTAAAATGTTCTTTGAATCAAAGACAGACAATGAAATATGTACAACAGTAATCAGCATATTGTCTTGTGTCAAAGGCTTATTTAGTTTTGCCTAATAAAATCTATTTGGTTGTGGTGTCTTAATGCTATGTTTACATTTTAGAGGTATGTAAAAGACCCACAAATGTCTCCTGAAATTTTGATTAATTTAGACATTTACTCCACACCTGATGGAGAGTTGAACACAAAACCATATTAGTTATTTTATAATTTACTGATGAATACATGCAATAATCACAAAATGTACATAGTTTAAAACGAAAATTATTATACATGAACGTGAGTGGGAAAGATGTAAGGGTGAAAAATGTATTCGCAATTGAACGTAGGTGCAAATTCTCATACCCATAACTATTTAACACCCTGCGGATAGCCAAATAGAACAAATAGCATACATTTTCACTTTATTATTTATGCCATCTTCACTCAAAGCAATCTAATTTCACTATATTCTTAATGACAAAAAACAAAACAAAAAAAACAAAGCATCAAAGATGGAGAGAGAAGAAAAAAAAGTAGATTGTATGCTACCATTACACAGTTTGGCAGCGTGCAATCTATAGAAAACTGTCTGTTGCTATTCAAAAATCTAAATAAAAAAATCAACTTGAGGTTATATTTGTTGGAAACCAAATAAAAAAAATGATTTTAATGTTTTTACTGTTGTAAACCAACAGAAAGTTACACTAGCACATCTCTCCAGTGTGATTAAATATAAGCCTCACGTTGGCAACAATTCACTTAATCTACTGGGAGTGCAGAATTATTAGGCAAGTTGTATTTTTGAGGATTAATTTTATTATTGAACAACAACCATGTTCTCAATGAACCCAAAAAACTCATTAATATCAAAGCTGAATATTTTTGGAAGTAGTTTTTAGTTTGTTTTTAGTTATAGCTATGTTAGGGGGATATCTGTGTGTGCAGGTGACTATTACTGTGCATAATTATTAGGCAACTTAACAAAAAACAAATATATACCCATTTCAATTATTTATTATTACCAGTGAAACCAATATAACATCTCAACATTCACAAATATACATTTCTGACATTCAAAAACAAAACAAAAACAAATCAGTGACCAATATAGCCACCTTTCTTTGCAAGGACACTCAAAAGCCTGCCATCCATGGATTCTGTCAGTGTTTTGATCTGTTCACCATCAACATTGCGTGCAGCAGCAACCACAGCCTCCCAGACACTGTTCAGAGAGGTGTACTGTTTTCCCTCCTTCTAAATCTCACATTTGATGATGGACCACAGGTTCTCAATGGGGTTCAGATCAGGTGAACAAGGAGGCCATGTCATTAGATTTTCTTCTTTTATACCCTTTCTTGCCAGCCACGCTGTGGAGTACTTGGACGCGTGTGATGCAGCATTGTCCTGCATGAAAATCATGTTTTTCTTGAAGGATGCAGACTTCTTCCTGTACCACTGCTTGAAGAAGGTGTCTTCCAGGAACTGGCAGTAGGACTGGGAGTTGAGCTTGACTCCATCCTCAACCCGAAAAGGCCCCACAAGCTCATCTTTGATGATACCAGCCCAAACCAGTACTCCACCTCCACCTTGCTGGCGTCTGAGTCGGACTGGAGCTCTCTGCCCTTTACCAATCCAGCCACGGGCCCATCCATCTGGCCCATCAAGACTCACTCTCATTTCATCAGTCCATAAAACCTTAGAAAAATCAGTCTTGAGATATTTCTTGGCCCAGTCTTGACGTTTCAGCTTGTGTGTCTTGTTCAGTGGTGGTCGTCTTTCAGCCTTTCTTACCTTGGCCATGTCTCTGAGTATTGCACACCTTGTGCTTTTGGGCACTCCAGTGATGTTGCAGCTCTGAAATATGGCCAAACTGGTGGCAAGTGGCATCGTGGCAGCTGCACGCTTGACTTTTCTCAGTTCATGGGCAGTTATTTTGCGCCTTGGTTTTTCCACACGCTTCTTGCGACCCTGTTGACTATTTTGAATGAAACGCTTGATTGTTCGATGATCACGCTTCAGAAGCTTTGCAATTTTAAGAGTGCTGCATCCCTCTGCAAGATATCTCACTATTTTTGACTTTTCTGAGCCTGTCAAGTCCTTCTTTTGACCCATTTTGCCAAAGGAAAGGAAGTTGCCTAATAATTATGCACACCTGATATAGGGTGTTGATGTCATTAGACCACACCCCTTCTCATTACAGAGATGCACATCACCTAATATGCTTAATTGGTAGTAGGCTTTCGAGCCTATACAGCTTGGAGTAAGACAACATGCATAAAGAGGATGATGGTCAAAATACTCATTTGCCTAATAATTCTGCACTCCCTGTATAATTATTAATCCAGCATCAAAAAATAAATAAAACATAGCTGGCAGTGCAGGCGTGCTAAACTAATAAAAACAAAAATTATTTGGAATTTGGCCCACCTGACTGTAATGAATGAATTTAGAGGCTTATCTTTAATATGACTAAAAAAAATAAAATATATATATAACAATACATACTAAGGTCCTCTTTAAACTGGAGTGTTACGAGATAATGGTGAGACAGATAAAATATAGAAACAAAAGAAAAACAAACATACATACAGATGTAGAGGACAACAAAAATTATGGGAGTTATTCATTCCTGGGGACCCCTAATTGATCAGTATTTCCCTCCCTCGTCTGTCCCCTAAGCGCTTTCACGTCTGCCTCCAATCTCTCAGTCTGTCTCTTTAGGTCCCAGTAGTCTCTATTCCCTTCTTTATTCCTCCAATTATCCCAATTCCGTCTATTGGTCTGATGCTCATCCCATCTATGGTTCCTTTTCCAATTATTCTCCCAATAACTGTTCCTGTTGTTTCTCTGTTTTTCTTGCCAACTGTGATTTTCCCAGTTATCTCTCCTTTTTAGCCTCTCCCAGCTATTATTATTATTCCAATTATTATTGATTACCTTAGGCTCCTCCCATCTATTTTTCCAATTATCTCCCATTACATTACTTCCTTTAGAACTGTCCCTATTTCTATGGTCCCTCTGTGGATCTCTCCATCTTTTGTCAGTCCTGTTTTGGTCCCCAGTTCTCATTATCCCTCTTGTTCTGGGGTACATCCCACCTCTGGCTTCTCCATTTACCATCTAAATCTCTACCAGAGTCAACCTTGAATGTTCTTATGGCTGAAACAGAGAAGGCCTGTTCTGAGAAAGGATGCTTAATCCACCAATTGTCAGCTCTAGTTAGTAGCATTTCTAAGTCAGGGGCTGTTTAGGTTGGCGTAGTGTATACCAGAAAAATATCCTTTGAGCTACCTCTCTAGGACCGTCTGCTGGCCTCATCGTAATATTAGCTATTTATTTCTCTATGCTGAGTAGATAGAAATTAGTTGCAGCAATTCTTCCTGCCTGATCAGACACACTGTTATTGAATCCCAATAGTCTACTAGCCAAAGGACCCATAGCATATTCTAAAAGTTCTGTCTATTCCTCTAAGTTAAGACCTCCTTTTTTAGCTCTATTTGCTCCCCTCATGAACCAGTGTGTAAAAGTATTAAAGTTGTTATTTGGCATACTTCCCCACCATTTCTGGAAATTTTCTTTGTCTGTGATTGACATAGTGCTTGTCTGTCTAGAGAAACTAGTAGGCATTTCTCTTGCATTAAAGTATTCAGTTATTATTAAAGGGGCTTGTGGGACAACTGGCGCAATTCCCTTGTGTTTGGTTCCAAGCACTGGTTCTGTACTTTTAGATATAAAATGAGACTGGCCTGGGCATACTTTAGGAATCTCCTTATCCCATTTATTTATGTTTTCTTTAGTTTTCATTTTATATTCCATAACTAGGTTTTGGAGTTCAGTGATCTTAGCACTATATGCATCTCTCTGTTGTTCTATTTTCTTTAATTCCTTCTCCAACCCCTCGATCATTTTGTTTGTTCTTAGGGCAGCTATTTTAAAACAAACTCTTTCAAGAGCATCTTCCGTTTTATTAGTGGTTACTAAATTAGCTTGCTACAGTTTGAGTACCATGCTTGCCAAACCCCCTATTGCAGCAACAACTGCTTGTGCCACCAAGCTTTTCCTTTTCTTAATATGGCACTTTTTATTAGTAACAATTTGTGTCAAAACATCCATGAAAACTTCATATTTTCCACAATTGGGGCCTGCTGGTTCTGGAATCTCATATGGTCCATCATGTTTGTCAATGTCATTCTTGAAGTACTCTAGTACTTCTGCAGAAAAATACTTAATACCTAGATATGACATTTAAAAACCGAGCTCTCCCTGAGTCTTTAATCGAAATAGACCAGCAGACTAAGTAAAAAAACAACAAGCTTTTAACAATGGGATTAATTTAAAAAAAACTGAAACTGGCTCCAAAGAGATTGAACCATTTGAGAAACTTAATTACATTAACCTATACAAACAAACTCTTGTCTTTTAAGAAAAAAAACTTCACAGTCTCAATACAACAAATGCCCACAGTTGGCAAAACACAAAACCACCCTTCTGCCTTTGTTTAAGTGCATTGTGGGGGGTTTACAGATAAACAGAATGATTTAAAGGAAGGTATGGGAACTGGAAAATACCTGACTGTAACTTCAGCACAATGATAATTCCCAACCATATAACAATCTAACATAGGCACCTTTACTTCATAATATTTTCCTCAAATACAAACTGTTCATTTTCTATTAAACACACTCCAGTGTAAAAATGGAAATGTTAGCCTGGCTAAACAATAGCCACCACACTGTATTAGCCCCAATACCTTTATCATGTAAACACAATGCTCCTACCCAGAATTCAATGGTTCAAACAGACAAAAGATAACCAAAAAAAAATTAAAAAAAAACAGTTTGCTATTTAAACTTAGAATGCAGAGAAGCCACAAAATGTACAAAATGTAACATCTAAAAACAATTACAATATATCCAGCTTAGTTCTAGTTCAGGGGTAGGCAACCTTTTAGCAGCACTGTGCCGATATAGGATTGTGATGTCCTGTAGTGCGCCGATCCTATTTTTTTTAAATTGAGGTGTGTATGCTGCCGTATTCTGCTTGTGTTATTTATACTGCAGTTGCTTTGTATTGTTGTATTTGTGCGTATATAAGCTATTATATTGTATATGTTTATTAGTAGTTTATGGTATTGTGTATGATACAAATGAATGTGGGCTGTGTATGGTTGCTGCTTGTGGAATTGTGTGTGGATGGATATGACACATTGTGTGTTTGGTAGTGTGTGGGGGCTGTTTGATCTATTTCATGTGAGAGGCTGCATGTGGGGTTGTGTGCATGTATGTATATGGTTAGTGGTGTTGCGTTTGTGGGGATTGTGTGTTGTGTGTGTGTGTGTGGGCTGTTCATATTATTTGTATGAGGGGAGGGTTATTCTGCATTTCTGTGTATATCTAGCAGTGTGTGTGGGTTCCAGTGGGGACCAGGCTGGCCAGGTACAGGTCAAGGACAGGAGATGCGATAGCTGTCGAGGGCTGCTCTACTACAGTGTGGATTCCCATTCACAAGTGCTAGGAGGAAGTGATCTGAGATCACTTCCTCTATGTGCTGCAATGCATAAATTGAGGATTGTCCTTCACCACCTCTTCGTATTAGCAGATATCTGAAGTTTTACTGGGACTCCTGATAGTCCAGAGTGCATTTGGCTCTAGCAGCCTTGACTGCCGTGCAAAGACACCTCGAGTGCCGTGCATTGCACTAGTGCCGTAGGTTGCCTACCCCTGTTCTAGTTAGTTGTAACAGGAGAGAGACAATACAGCAAATGGGCTATTAAAAATGGCCAAAACATCAAAGGTTCCAATGCAGTGAAACTATTCAATTTTCCCCTTTTATCACCAATACTTTAAAACTGTACAGAAACAAAGTTAAACCTATAAATGCTACAATTTGCAACAAAATATGTTCTGTCAGTCACAATACACAAATTCAAAACAGTCAACAAAACACATATGTATATTTGTTTCAACAAAATGAATCCTATGCTATAAAGTCTCTTTCTCTTGGATTATGTATCAATATGGTAGTTATTGCGCCTCACAAACATTTGTTGTAGAAGTCTAAAATTCGTGGTCGCCAAATGTGGTAAATTACCAAACTCTATAAATTATTATGTACGCATACACATATAAACTCTGGTCCGTCTACTTTAACAAATATTTATTCAGAGAAAAAACAACAACAACATACAAATAATGACACAAAATCTAACTATACCACCAACAACAGCAACAACAACCTAACTAACAATAACAACTACATCTTATAAAATCCCACTCACAGTTCACCATGATAGAAATTAGGCCATGTCTGCTTAAGGGACTGCTCAGTAGCACAGCCAAGAAGGAACAGAAATGAATGGAGATAGGAGGAAGTGGTTACCTCTTTCCTGACTTGTAAAGGTATTGAATTACCCAATTACCATATCAAAAGGTAAAGCTTATCCCACTGTAAGAAAGGCATACATGAGCTTGGTCACATGATCCCTGGTCACCATATTAGTTTGATGACAGAATGTCACCACACCATCCACCCCTGCCTGCCATTTACGAACCCCACTTGGTTTTCATGTATCAACGAGGGGATGATGAGTGGTAGATTCTGGCTTTTATTGGGTGGTTTTCCCGGTTTTGGGAGAGGGGCGATATGAGCCATTAACATCTCCGATGGCATTGATCATGTCTCCATTATGTGATTGAATAACATCTCTAGGTACGGGGCCAGAGTGGGTGCGAATTGTTTATAATATGAATTTGTGAGGCCGTCTGGTCCTGGGGACTTGCCCGGGGGCAGTGAGCGGATGGTTTCCAAGATCTCTTGTGTGATTACGGGGGCTTTTATGGCAGTTATTTGGGTCTCTGTCAACTGTGGTAGTGTGGTGAGCTTTAGGAAGTTCCTGATCTCTTGGGCGTTGGGTTGGTGTATAGTATCATCCTCTTTGAGGTTATAGAAGGTGTGGTAATACATTGCCATTTCATCATTAATGTCTTGGGGGTTGTGTATTTTGTTGCCCTTGATAGTAATTGGGTATGGGATTTTAGCATTCACCTGTTTTTGACAGAGCATTTCTGCAAGTGTTTATCCTGCCCTGTTTCGTGGTTTATGGGCCTGCCACATGGATAGGAGAGATACGTCTTGGGTATCATAGGTCTTAACCCCTTAAGGACCAAACTTCTGGAATAAAAGGGAATCATGACATGTCACACATGTCATGTGTCCTTAAGGGGTTAAAGTACCTCTGTAGGTGTTCTTGTAGTTTTTGTGTGAAGGAGGGGTCATGCAGCTGTGATTCATTGAGGTGCCAGGGTGGTTTGCCTCTATGTTGCTATTGGTCTCTAAAGGTTAGCAGAGTTGGAGCGTGGTCCATGGAGCTGTGTGTTACCTGTGGGAGTAGGGTTCCAGAGACCAAGATTAGGTCTATCCTGGAATACGTCTTGTAATGCGGAATAGTACAAGTACTCTCTGTTTGTTGGGTGCATGTTCTCTATGAGTCATAGAGCCCGTATTCCATGATCAGTTTAGTGAGTACTTTACCTGTGTTCCTAAGTGTAGTGTGTCTGGTGGCAGCGTGAGGTAGGGATGTGTCTATTTGGTAGTTTAGGGTGTGGTCGAAGTCCCTACATACGATCACACAGCCGGTAGATGCTGTAGGCAATTTTGGCAGTACACTGTGTAGGAAATTACGCTGTTGTTCATTTGGACTGAATTATTATTATTATAATTATATAGCACCATCAAATTCCACAGCGCTTTACAAAGGGTGGACGAACAGACATGTAGTTGTAACCAGACAAGTTGGACACACAGGAACAGAGGGGTTGAGGGCCCTGCTCAATGAGCTTACATGCTAGAGGGAGTGGGGTAAAATGACACAAAACGGTAAGGATAGTATTAGATTAGTGAC